TCTCCATGTAAATCTTGGTAATGCTAGCTGCATATCCCCTGACAAAGTCGAATCTCCAACCGTCAAACCCAATCTCAGACTTGAGCCAATTCATCCACTCCGATAACTCCTTCTGTACCCTGGGGTTAAGATGATCGATATCGGGGGCGCCGCCGAAGTCCATACCGGTGTCGGCATTGCCAGTGCCGTCGGAGTATTTAATGTCGTCTTTGCAGATGAGGTTTGGACCCCAGTCGAGGCGGTCATCCGGCGTGCCACCTTCGAAGATGCAGTAAATCTCCCTGTTGTCTTTCTTGTCAGCGCATCTATGGTTTATCACTATGTCGCCCACGACCTTTATCCCTTTGTCATGAAGCGCCGCCACCAGTGCTTGCAGTTGTTGCTTATTTCCATACTTGGATGCATCCAAGTCATACAGCCTTCCAGGCATATACCCTGACCTCTAAAATTGTCAAAATCTGGCCATCATAAACATGGATCAAGAAACAAGAAAAAGATAGCACCTTGGGGAGCTACAGAGTGGGAGGGTGGTGGCAACCAAACATGAGTTATCCCAGCATTAGCTAAATCCGGGATGAAATTGATGAGCGAGTTGTACCATCCACCTTGCTGCTTGTTTGATTCCCAGTTGAACCCCTGAATCAAACAACATCTAATAATCAATCATGTCGAAATCAATCAAAACCGTGCATACAATACAGATAATATAATATATATATATATATATATGCTGGGATGATACCTGGAATAACAGAGTAGAGCCAATTGCAGGAACAAAAATGCAGGCAAGACAGAAGCAAGAAAGAAACTGAAAAACATTCATTTTTGTGAATTATTGGTTTAAACCCAGATTAGGAGAAGCAGCGGTGAGATTAGGGGAGTTATTTAGACTTTGGATTGACACTCAGACTAGTTGTGCATCACAAAAATCTGGTTTCACACCCTGTTGAGATGAGCCTTTTTGGGTTTAGACTTTAGAATAAATTTTCGTGCGAGGAAATTTCGCATTTAATGCAGACAGGACTTATTCTTTCCCCAAATACAAACAAGACTTATTTCTTAGTACTGTATTAGATTGATGAGAGATATTAATTGTTGATTTCCAGCTTCAATTCGTGTTGGTTTCTCCCTACTGCAAAGTCTTTTCCACGTGCATTATAATCAACTCTCCCTTGCGATCTTGTATTTTGACAATTGGGAACGAGTTGCGTCAGGAAAATTTTATTCATCACATCATTTTCCTACAATACACACTACAAAATTCATGCACAATATAAAATATAATTTTCAATATTTAAATTTAAATGGAATATATACATATTACCAAATAATGATATTTTTATATGACTCCAGAAAATAGGTTTCAAACAAATATGACCCTCCAGAAAATAATTTAAAATGAAAAAAAAAATTGAGAAAAAGAATATTTGTTCATCTCTAATAATAGCTAGTGTTTCATGTGCAATGTACAACATCTCAATGACTCAGACCTAAGAACTTAAACTATAAGATACTTGACAGTTTCAGCACGTGTTATATACGTACCCTAAATTTTGTATACGAGAACCAAAGCCTTTTTACATAGCTAGATTAAAGGTTATTTGTTTTGTATCTTATACATACTATCAAAAACATATATAAATTAAAAATAAAAATAAATGATGGGTCCAAAATAACTCTCTATGGCCCTAACCAAGCTCAATATATACATTTTGGTCCCGTTAGAAAATTTCAAATGACTTCATGCTTGATTCTTTCAACAGTGCTGAGTGGGATGACTCCATGTTTGATTCTTTCAACAGTGCTTAAAATAGTGGAATGCATCCACATTCACATTATATTGTCTTGGTGTTCAATTTGTACAAGAAAATGACACAAAGTTCATAGTGGTTGCGTGGAAAATGATTTCTCAACGATGGAGATGGATACTCATACAGGCTAATTAGCACCTAGTCCTTGTTGTATAGGACCATAGGTAAGCGATGACGTTGATTGTAATTTTTATTTTTTTTACTTTACATTTATTTAGAGACTAATATAATAATTGATTGTTTTAACTTTGCCATATTTGTATTGTCTTATTCTTTGTTCATAATATTTCTTTTTCTTTTGTGTTACATTTATTTAGCAACTAATAGAATAACTAATTGTCTTATCTTCGCTGTATTTGCTTTGCCTTATTATATTCAGTTGGAATAAGGTTCAAATTGGCCACTGAACGTAACCTGAAAATGCAATTAGGCCACTGAACGAAAAAAAAGTGCAATTAGGCCATTGAACACTCAAAAAATGTGCAATTAGGCCACTGGACTCTCTAAACGTATGCAATTTTACCGGATAGCAGGTTACCATCAATTTTAGCAGGTTACCTGCTTACGTGGCAGCTTAGTTGGCATTTTTAATAATTTTTAAATCATTTTTAATAATTAATTTTATTAATAAATTTTATAAAAATTTGGAAAAAATTAAATAAAAAATAAAATAAAGTCATTTTTATTTTTTAAAAAAAAATTTAATAAAAATTTATTATTAAAATTTATTAAAAATTAACTAAATTTATTAAAAATGCCAACTCAGCTGCCATGTAAGCAGATAACCTGCTAAAATTGAGGGTAACCTGCTATCAGGTGAAATTGCACATTTTTGGAGTGTTCAGTGGCCTAATTGCACTTTTTTTTCGTGCAGTGGCCTAATTGCATTTTTAGGTTACGTTCAGTGGCCAATTTGAACCTTATTCCTATTCAGTTTAGTCTACACTTACAAGCTTACCACTTTTTATATTTAGATAATTAGATAATATGTAAATTGATTTTATTTGCTTCTATATAATATATTTGTTTGTTTTAGAAAAAAAAAGGTTCAATTTTCTTGAGGAAAATAGAGATAATGGAGACATAAATGTATTTTATAAATTGAAAACAAAACAAAATGAAAAAGAAAAGGAGAGAGTTAGGCATAAAATATTGAGTAACGAACTCTTACATAAAAATTAATAAAGTTAATTCCATTTTTGTCCTAGATTTATATGTGACATTATATTTTAGACCTTTATTTTAAAACATCCTTTGGTCTTAGTATTATTGTGACATAATTATTTTTATCGTTTATCAACAAAAATCGTTCAAATGCCTTAAATACAAGAATATTCAGTATTTAAATAGGAATTTTTCAACAAAATCAAAATATAAATATAGCGACCAACCTACTTTGTATAAAAAAAAATAAATCAAAATGTCTTTGTATTTGTCATTTCAACGATTTTGTTGATTGATGACCAAAAATGGTCATGACATAGTAATACTATGACTAAATGTGAATGTTCTAATATTTAAAAAAAAAATTAAAAATAGACTGTTATCTATCAATTTAAAACAAAAAATAAAATTAACTAAATTAATAATAATAAATTTCTGGTTATATGTATGTTTTCAGCAATAATTAGATGCGACCCTGCGTATAGCTCAACTTGTTCCTTTCTAGATTCTCATAATGGGTCAATTGACTATTGCCACTGCTTTGACCGTGGGTCAATGATCATTTGGCATGTCAAGTTGGATAAGTCCATCTTTGAGCCATATGACATTTTTCAATAATACAGTATATCAAATATTAAAACTCCAATGGAAGAAAATAAAACAAAAAATAAAATTGTAATTCATATTTTTTGGAAAATATATGTTACCCTTCTCTTTTTCCACACGTTTGTTTGACACGTAAGATTTGGGACAAAGTCAAGTAGGCAACAAATATGAAATATCAGCAAAATGAAAATTAAAATTAAAGCTGTAGTGCATTTGATTTTGGACCGTGGGTGAAACTTGCCTCTGGTTTTTTGTATTCCTGACCAACAAAAAATTATAAGAAGTTAGACAGCCTAGATTGCCTATCTCGGCATTGACAAAAAGTTAAACTTTAAACATTATAGTTACTAAATTAATTATTAATTGTGTGACTAATTTGACTGAATTGACCAAGCTATAGTCTTTTATATATATACTAGTAATTCACTCGCGCGATGCACGGAAAAAAATTATGTTATTATAAATAAAAATAAAAAATAGAAAAACTAAAATATTTTAAATTATTTAATATAATAATATTTTTGAGCTTCCATTGGTCAAGTATTTATTATTTTTATAGAATACAAAATTACAATTAAAATTAATATTAATATTAAAATTATAATTTTGTATGGTTAATATAATTTCTAATTATGTGCATATTCAAATAAAATTATAGAGAGAATTTACATAATTACATTGATTTATTCTTAATTGTATTTCATCTATATTATAATTTTCACAATACGAATAATAACTAAGATAATTACATTTGGAAAGCAAATTTCAAATTTTGTATGTGTAAATTTAAACTCTAATTGAACACATTTTTTATATGATTATATAATATATAACTATTTTATTTTTCAAATGTATATTTTTTATATGATTATATAATATATAGCTATTTTATTTTTTTAATGTTGTGTTTTTTTTTTTAATAATAAAGGATGTTGTGGCATTAATTGTAACATTAATTATTTCCCAAACCATATAGCTTTATTATATAAAGTTCATTCAATTATTCCTAAGTCTATAAAACTCTGCCCTAGAACCACTCCAAAGGTAAATTGTGAGTGTAGTAATTAGCCCATCGGTCAGACCCTAATTTTCAAGTGCTCACAAGGGTCATGTTTCATGTGGGATTCGGACATCCATGCTACAGCCTTTAGTTGTAACATCAAGTCAACAACGAACCGCTACTAAGTCCCGGAGCGAAGAGACCAAGGTTCGAATATCGGCAGCAACAATGTGGAGATTATGTCAAAGTGGACAGATTCTTTGTGCACGCACAATATTTAGTCCTATCTGATGAGACATTGAGTCACTGTGATTTATATCCACCCAAATGTTATGTGGACTTGGGGTTGGGAATTCAACCTTTAATTTAATTTGGGAGAAGTCCGGTCGGGGGGCGAGCCGTAGCCTATTTATTAGTATGCATGCTTGTATTGAAACGTACACTGGGTAGTTTAATTAGTTTCAATTCAACCGTACCCCCAGACCTCTCTCTCATTGCATTCTTATATTTTACTAGTTTTTTTAATCTGTTCCTCGACGATCCTGGGCTTGAGTGAGTCATGGATTCGCAGGAATGGATTATTTTCATACTCCTGAGTTTACATCTTTGTTCCGCCACCATAGCCGCCGACAACATAGATCCCAATTACGAATGGCACCAGTGCGGAACGAGTGGGAACTACACTCCAAACAGCACATACGACAACAACCTCAACACACTTCTGTCGTCCCTCTCAAACAACGTAAACCAATACGGATTCTACAACGGTTCCGTTGGGCAAGACTCGGAGAGGGCTAGCGCTATTGTGCTGTGCAGAGGGGACATTGAACTGAGTGTATGTCGTGGGTGTGTTAAGGATAATGCTGAGAGGATCAAACAGTTGTGTCCTAATCAGAGGGAGGCATTCCGGTGGTACAACATCTGCAGTATATATTACTCCCATGAATCCATCCTAGGTTCTTTGCGAATCACTCCTGAAATCGAACAACATAGTATTACCCCTGTTAAGAATCCTGGTCAGTTTAATCAGGATTTGACGAGCCTGGTAGACAGACTAAGAAGACAAGCCGTGAATGGCGGTCCGTTCCTCAAGTACGCGGCTAATAGTACGGCGGGACCGGACTCCCAGACCATATATGCGTATGTGCAGTGCACCCCTGATTTGTCTGTTCGCGATTGCGAAAATTGCCTGAAAAGTGCTTTCGCTCTATGGAATAAATCGAAGGGTAATGGGATGATAGGGGCAAGAGTTCTGCGTCCCAGCTGCTTTTTTCGCTATGAGATTAGCCCCTTCTTCGGTGCCTCGCTCATTAACGGATCTCATTCAGCACCTCAACCACTTCCACCACCACTAGCTTCGCCTTCACCTGCTTCTTCTCCTCCGCCACCACCGCAGTCAGGTATAAGCTGAGAAACTTAATGTATTAAAAAAATACTAAATTTCTTATCTGAAACTAATCCAAAGATTTTGTTTTTTTGTAGGGAAGGATGGTAATAAAGCCTCAAGAGTAACCATTGCTGCTTCAATTGCGGCGGGACTCGTTCTTGGTGTCATCATCTGATTCAGTTAAGGCTCAAGAACCACAAAGGAGAAGTTGCAGTTTAGAATAATTTGTGTTGAGCTGTACTGTTATGCTCTGTTGAGTGATCATCTATCGAAGGAATACAGTTATGTTTGTTTGTTTGAATTATGAGGTTTTTGAGTGCATCTTGAGTGGAGATAGAATTTAAGTGTGATTTTTTACTTGTAATCATAGACTTATTATGTTACTCAATAATAAATTGAGCTTTTGTAATTTGTATTGATATGATATTTGTGTGCACTTATATGCTTAAACTGTTAAACATATAAATACCTTTGTACTGCACTTGGATAAAAATAATGGATCGGAATTATTCATAGCTCTTTATTTTTTTCTTTATTAGACTAATTTTATATTAATTAGTGTCATGCTTGCAAGATGAAGTTGCTTACATCATGGCATTTAATTATTATTTTTTTAAACCATGTGGCTATACTTCCAAACAAATAAAGGCAACCAAAGTGATTCTAGTGGGCCTAATTTTTCTTTTTTTCTTTTTTAAATTTATTTTTTAAACTACAATCTAGATAAACATGATATATGCCAACATTCGATGTCATCAAAGTATAATGTATTTGACTAAATTTGTTAATTATTAGTTTATCATTATTTTGTTGTTGTTGTTGTTATTAAAAGTAAGTTAGAATTGTAGAGATGTAACAAATAGTTATAAGTGGATTGCAAATATGATGATTAATAGTATGATCAACTTTTAAAAGTGAGAGAATACATTATTGTAAAAATAAACAAAGTCTAAGAAGAAAAGAAATGTGATCAACACTGTTGGGTAATAAGGTTGAAAAACCCCAAAATAATAATCTTACGGAAAGATTATTATTCTATGGGGAAACAGAAAAAATCTGGGAAGGAAAAGCGGTGGAAAAATTGAGTAAAAGGTTAGCACTATTTTGAACACAAAGTTCTTTTCTTTAAAACCTTATTTGCTACCTCCACAAGTGCTAGGAACGTTGTAGCCTAGGTTTCCCAGGATAAAACGTGTTACGATTCTTTGTTTAAGCACCTAAACAAAGAACCCGGCAAACAAAGCAAGAGCTAGAACACTGTTTGTGAAAGAAGATAGTAGAAGCAGAAGTTTTGAACCAAAAACTGTACTGGAATTCCTTTTTGTTTTGTTCTGTGTAAAATGCTTCTGCCCTACCTCTCTTTATATAGGAATGTTGGAGGGATAACATTCAACATGGCCATTAACTCAATGATTCAACGAACATGGTCAAATCTCGGTGCGCACAATAAATCTACCCACTTTGAACACAATGATATAATATCTATTTGCATATATTTTTTTTCAATTTATTGAGAGAGTTAGTTATGTTGGTTTCTAATATGCTATATGCCTTGGCACAAACGTTTTTTTTTTTTTTTTTTTTGCCTTTTATGCATTAAATTCTCGGTTAAACTAATCTTAAGTCAAAATTTTCGACCCGCTTTTGTCGGAAATGATTCTTACTTTGGTGAGAAATTGACAAAAATGGGCCGAAAGGATTATTTTTGAAAAAAAGAAATCGTGGACCGAGATTACAATGTTTGAAACTCGTGGAGAAAACATAAAAGTGTCACTATAGTCATGGAAACAAAAGTGCGAAAAACTCTTGTAAGTAATTATTCATTTTCCGCAAACCTGCGGCGCACACGAGAGCGAGAGTGCACCTCTCGCCGTTGCACGAGAGTGGTTGAACCAAGTGACTATATCGTTTGCACCAGCCAATTTCCGGATGACATTCGTGCCTGCACCTGCGACGCACACGAGCTCGGGCTTGAATCAAGCCAAACCCACCCCTCCCCCCCCCCCCCCCCCCCGCGCGAGAGAGCCTCTATGCTATACAATTCTACAAGTTTCAAAAGAGCTCTTGTATATAAGGGGGGCAAATCTTCTTTCCAAACCAATGTGGTGCAACGTCCACTATTTCCCTTCATTTTCCAACTCAAATGGGTCTACTTTGAGAATCAATATCTCATTCACCCATTATCCATTTTGAGCGTACAATATATCAATCTCTTCGTCTCACTACGAAGAACCCGAATCCACTTTGATCCGACCGAAATCGGAAATGGACCCCACTGATAATTGTACCACAAAATAGCCACTTAATATGTCATTTTAAGCTATTTTTTCCAACAAACACTTGGTTAGAGGGTAAATTATTCTGTGGACCATGGACCATATAGCCGTGTGGACCAAGAATATAAAGTACAGAGTACATTTTTAATATACTAAATGTATATAATTTTATAAATAGTGTACTTTCAATACTAAAAAAAAATGTACTTTACATACACAAATAATGTATTTTTAATATATTAATAATATAATTTTTATTTATGATTTGCACAGCTGTGTGGATCATATTCCATGTAATAATGATTGTGGTTAGACGAGGTACACATGAGACATACTTTTAATCACTAGTACAAATATGACCAAACACACCTATTTTAAGTGATAATACCCAGTAAAATAAATTAACATGCATAACAGAAACACATAATTTTAAGACTATACGCGTCTGTTTATAACAAACGCGTAATTTTTTTGAAACAATAAAATAATTTTAAGACTATACGCGTCTGTTTATAACAAACGCATAATTTTTTTTGAAAAAATAAAATAAAATATATATGCGTCTAGGAACTAAATTTGAACTAGTATAGAATCCAAAAATATTAAGATCTGCACAGCTGTGTGGATCATATTCCATATAATAATGATTGGGGTTAGAAGAGGTACACATGAGACATACTTTTAATCACTAGTACAAATATGACCAAACACACTTATTGTAAGTGATAATACCCAGTACAATAAATTACCGTGCATAACAGAAACACATAATTTTAAGACTATACGCGTCTGTTTATAACAAACGCACAATTTTTTTTGAAAAAAAATAAAAATAAAAAATACTCCGTATATGCGTCTAGGAACTAAATTTGAACAAGTAGTATAGAATCCAAAAATATAAGAAAATTATTACTCTTTCTTTTCTTGTTTATGCTTTGAATTTCTGTAATGGTGTAGTATACTCGTACACGTAATTAAGGTCACTATCCTCCATTAATGATGATGACTTTTCAAGCTTTCACATCCAATCCAATCTATCAATATAATTACTTCTATTATAAATATTTTTATCTTCATACTAGTTTTTTACGCGCATTGCGCGATTGGGATAATGCCCAATATTTTTTCTTGGAAAAATTATAAAAAATGTCCCTTTATAATATGCCAATTATCAATGTCACTCCTGAATTACGAGTGGTGTAAATATTGCCCCTCAATTATCAAAATGGTGCACATATAGCCCCTTCCGTAACGGGCATGTGGTTTCCCACCACTGTCCCTCGCTGGTACTTCGAATCGAGGAGGAAAAAACAATTAAATTATATATTTACTCAAACTTAACGGTGTCGTACACTAACAGGGAACCACATGTCCGTTACGAGAGGGGCTATATGTGCACCGTTTTGATAATTGAGGGGCAACATTTACACCACTCATAATTCAGGGGTGACATTGATAATTGGCATATTATAGAGGGACATTTTTTACAATTTTCCCTTTTTTCTTTACATATGTACTTTAAAGTATATCAAGGCAAGATTATATTGGAATTGTTCATTCTTCCAAAGTTTCACCTCTATGACCAGTTGAGCTGCCCATGCTGGTATATTGGAATTGTTCATGCATAGATAATTGAATGTTAAATTTGCGTATTTAAATAGGCAATTCTAAGTTTACAAATGCAAGATAATATAGTCAAGATTGATTATAATTTTCAATAAAATAACTGTATAGGTATGGTTGAAACCAAATACGGGACATAAGGGAAAGCAAATAAAAATTAGGGTATAAAATATTAAATATATACTAATATTGAAGAACTAACGGCTGATTGCAAACAGGGACATTACAAGATAGTTCCCCACTTCAATTTGTTGTGCGATTTGAATACTCTTTTTGTCAATAAATCCCCCAAGTAGTTAATATGATTGACTTAATTATATTTTTTTATTTTTTAAAACTATTATTATTATTATTATTATTATTATTATTATTATTATTATTATTATTATTATTATTATTATTATTATTATTATTAAATATATGTATACCCTTACGTCATTTTACATGTTAATCTAAACAGCTAATTTTTTCAAATATCTTTTTACCAACCGTTGATATAATTCGTTGGTCAAATTCACGAATATAATCCGCTAACGCTAACCGCTGATTATCAAACAAGGACATTGCGAGGTAGTTATCACTTCAATTTGTTGTGTGATTTGAATATTCTTTTCGTCAACAAATCCCTCAAGTAGTTAATATGATTGGCTTTATTAATTATATTTGTTTAATTTTTTTATGGTATTAATAAAATACTTGGTAAATAAATATATAGCATTATTTTGTATTATAACTTTGATATTTAATTAAAAAATAGTGCACAAAAAAACATAATAGACAATGTAGTTAATATAATCACTTGATAAATTTGAATGTAAAGAGTTTTTACATTGGAGAAATATAAAGACAATATAACTAATAAAATTATTTCTCTTAATTAATTTATTGATAATGAATAATTATTTTTAAAGAAGACATTGTAGGGACATTGTAGCGAATATAATCAATTGATGAATTTGAATGTAAAGAATTTTTATATTGGGGAATGAAAACTAAATACAATATAACTAATGAAATTATTTCTCTTATTTAATTTATTGATAATGAATATTTTTTTTTTGAATAAAGACATTATACACACATAATTCTAAATTAAAGAAATGCATATGTATTTTTTTTTTGTAGCTACTAAATTATTAATTAATTAATTTAATAAGAGTAAAATAGAGTACTAATTATGCCAATTTTAATTTGATTGGGATGAGGTTCGAACCTGAGACCTTTCTTATTAAAATCAATGAGTAAGTTAACGGTGAACTAACAGAAACTAACGGAAAAAATAATATTTACCGGAAAAGTTAACAGATAATCATATTCGTTAAGGATAAATTAGGAAATCTCAAGGAAAAATTAAAATCTGATCAATCTGAGCCATTCATTTGATTAAAAAAATTGACCACCATTTTTTCTACCCATTATAGCCCTAACTCTCTTGGGCTCTTATTAGTATAGTAGATTTGTAGCTATCAATCAGTGTTTAGAAAATGGGGATAAAATTCTATTCATGACG